ATCTCCCTGAGAGTGCAAAAGAACACTGTAGAGATTCTGAGAGAACTGAACGAAGCCAGGGGAATCGGGCTTTGCCTAGGACTCCAACATCTGTGCTTCCTTCGAAGGAAGGCATGCTTCTTCCAACAGGAATTGTGGCATCTCATGATCCTCTGCACCAAGGCTAGATTTGGATTTAGGCACACCAGGAGAGGATGTGGTCCAACTCTCGCTTCAGCAGGGGGTTGGAGTGGGCAGGATACAGGAGAACTTACTATCTTTCCCCCCAAACTCCTCCTTATTCATAACTTTTTGATCACTGCCAAGGGCATCACTATCCTCCCAGGCAGCCAGGCTCACAAGTGTGGTGTCATCTTTGACTCCTCCCTCTCACATACCATCCCCCATTTCCAATCCATTGTCAAGTCTGGTTGTTTCTACCTTCGCAGCATCTCTCGCAGCCATCTTCTTCTCTCCATTCATATAGCGACCATCCCAGTAAGGCTCTCACCACCTCACGCCTAGACTATTTAGAATAATCTTCTAACTGGTCTCCCTGCCTTAAGACTTGTTTCTACCTTCACAACATTTATAACCATCTTTCCTTTGTGAGTACCTCCAGCCCGGTACAGGGCCTCATCACCTCATACTTCGAGTATTATAATAACCTTGCCTCTAGTGTCTCCCATCCATCATCCATCCACTCAGCTGCTAAAGTGGTCTTCCTATACAGCAAGTCTGACGATGCCACTCCCCCACTCAATAAACTCCAAGGGCTCCCTATTACTTTGGAGATCAAATCTAAAATTCTGTTTGTCCTTTAAAGTCTTTACAATCCAGTCCCTTCCTACCTTCACTTTACAAAGTTACACTAGGCGGCTTGCTATTCTTCACACATACCCCTCCAACTCACAGCACCATACATTTGCATTGACTGTCCCCCATGGCTGAAATGCTTTCCTCCCCACCTCTGCCTCTTGGCTTCCCTAGATTCCCTCCAGACTCTCCTTCAGGAGTCTTTTCCTAGTTATCCCCCCACCTCCAAGCCCCTCTCCTCACAAATTACTTTCCATTCACAGTATATATGTGTGTACTCTGTTATTTGCATGTTGTCCACCAATTAGAATGTGAACACCTCGAGAGCAAAGAATGTGTTTTTGCCTTTCTTTGTTTTGCCAGAGCTAATCACATTTCCTGGCATATATCAAGTACTTAGTTAACGCTGATTAGTTGACGGACTGACTGAAAAGACTTATCCCCAGAGTCCTGTCCCAGTGGAGGTCCCCCTGCACTCCTCCCTCTAAATCCTAGGGGGAGGAGAGGGGTGACCTTCTCCTAAAGCTGGACTACCCTCCATGTCACTCCCATCTCAACCTTAGCCCCTATTCAATTATTTTTGCCTGATGAGAAAAAATTCCTAGTTATAACTCTGGAATCTGGTTTTCCTAACTTAGAGGAACAAAGGTGAAAAGATTGAACCACATGACCTTTAAGATCTCTTCCAGCTCAAACAGTCTATAATTCTAGGAAACAGATAGTGGGAAATACATTCCAAGGTGACTATCTGGGATGAATACAGGAAATGCCAGCAAGGCACCTGACTCCTTTGGGGAGAGAAGGTGAGGAAGGGCTCAGCCCTGACATTAATTAGCTTAAGGTCCTTTCAGGCCAAATTCTAGCCATGCCCAATATTAGAATTTGGACGTGGAGGCTTCCTGATCAGTTGTTGTTCTGTGCCCAGAAACTTCAGTAAACCTACATAACTGATGGTATGAATACAGGTTGGGAACTGGGTATTGCTTTTCACAAAAGTCATTTCAAACGAGTCAGATATATGTTTTTACTATCATTCTACTAAGGCTGCTTAAAAAAACAACAACAAAAAAAAGATAAATAGGAATGGAAAGAGTTGTGAGGGTTATCTTCGAAATATAATTCTCATTTCCCATGAGGTTCCTTATCTGGGTTTTGGAAATGGCTAAGAATTCCAGAAGCTGCGTACTTACAAAAAGCTTTTAAAATATATATATATATATATATATAAACATGCCGAAGGCACATTATTCATGTCTAAGATAATAGCTAAACTGACAGATAAATATTATCTACTAGGTTTTCTCATAGAATTTACATTTTTACATGATATTAGGAACCAAATTAAGAAGACATGAAATTTCATGAATGTTTAATACATAATATTCTTTGGGAATTTCTTCAATGGCCAAGAAAGCAAATAAGTCTTCTGAGTTACAGCTCTAATCTGACTTTCACATTAATGATTAATGGTTACGTGTTATGGAAAACACCTATCTTCTTCAGGCTCCTTGAGCACAGGCAGTACAGGAAAATGGATATCTATGGTGCCTTCCTCCTTTAGCACTCAACAGCTGTTTTCCTTATCAAGGGGAGCCTTCTGGGTTTGGGCTTTTTTTGACCACAGATACAGGGCATTTTTTAGGCAAAAAAAACATGTCACTAATTCTTCCCCAATTATTTTTTCAAAGTGGTGAGTATTGTCAGCCAAGCCACTTGAAGCCACTGCCTACATTGCTACCCTGAAGATGGCTCTAAATTTGCGGCCAACACTTATGAATATGAATATCCCAAGGCAGAATCTGACCCTGTGAAAAGAAGCCTGTAAAATGATCCTGTTCCATTTAACACTGGGATTCCAGAACTACCGCCTCATAAATTCCAGGTCTACACTAACAGATCCTGGCTGAACATAGCAGCAGCTGCCAAGAGTTCAGTGACTGAGCTAAGAAAATGGCAGCCCTGCATCCTGGGCCATATTCCAAAAGCAAAGAGATTTCTGCCCTCAAGCATTCCAGCAAGCACCTTCATCAAACCAATTTTTTTCTTTCCAGAACATGTTTTAACTTCCCAGATACATACGGAGCTATGTGTTACAGGGCCAGATTTTGATGGAGTTAAGTTTTGTGAGAATTAAAATGACAGGACAAGGGGGCTTGGTGGGGCTACCCCTCCCCTATTTCAGTAACACATGTAGACTATGCAAAAAAAGGGACTTTTTATTTTAGTTATTCACCTTAATTCTGAAATTTTACTTTATAATGTATATGTATTATTTCTGTTAAATGTAGATTTTCAGCACAGTCTATCTCTATTTATGGGCAAAACTAAAACTAAACCATGAAACCATAAGGCCACATTCCTCAGTCTGGTATTTGGACCCCAGCCTATCCCATTAGCCTCATCTCAGAGCAACCTCTTCAGCTCCCTATGCTGTAGTCAATCAGGCCTGTTCATCATTCTCTGAATTCCCCCTGTGCTCTCCTGCCCTCGTGCCTTGGCTCAGGCTGTCTGTTCCCTATGAATTCCTCATCCCTGCAGGCTCTCCCTTGCCCACCCAATTCCTACTCATCCTTCAAGTCCTCATTCCAAGGCTGAGACTCACTCCCCATCCCATGAGGCCTTCTCTGATCTGGCTGTCAGAAAGAATCTCCATTTTCTGAATTCTCTGGTGCTTGGTTGGCACTTTGCTTAATTGCGCTTTCACATTCACCTGGTTAGTAGAGTTATTTGTAGAACATGATGAACTCCTTGGGGACGAGGACCATCTTCTTTTTGTCTTTGTATGCTCAGCACCTAGCACAGCGCCTTGCTGGGAAATCACAGTTAACATTTACGTAGTATTTTAAGGTTTGCAAAGCCCTTTACATACATCGTACCATTTGATCTAATCCTCAAAACAATTGAGAGGGGTAGGCACAATTATTATCCCCATTTCACAGATGGGGAAACTGAAGTTGAGAGTTTAAAAGTTAAATGACTTTCCCCTGGTCACATAGCTGATAGAGTACCTGAGGGAAGATTTGAACACAGGTCTTCCTAACTACAAGGCCAGGTCTCTAGCCACCAAACCACCTAACAGCCAACTTAAACAACAACAACACACTTATTGAATTGTTTGATATGCTAAAAAGAGTACTGGATTTGTAGTCATTCTACTTGGGATAGAATCCTGGCTATGCCACTTACTACCTATGTGGCCTTGGGTAATTTACTTCATCCTCTGAATTATCAATTTGTTCATCTATAAACTGAGAGAGTTAAACTAGAAGACCTTTAAGGTCCCTTCTAGATAGAAATCTTTCTATTTGTTCTACTATCTATTGATTTTGTGTTACTGTATTTTCCCCTATCCTAAACGTCTTGAATATCTAACTTATCTTTGTATATCCTTTATGCTTTTCAAAATTCTGTTAACATAGAAGGTTGGAGCTAATTTCTAAGGTCTTCACAATTGGACCCTGATGTACCCATTAAGCCTCATCTCTCAGCACCCTCTTCATGCCTTTGTGCTCTAGTCAATCTGGACTAGTCATCATTTCCTGAATTCACTCTATGATTATGCTCTCTTAGAGCTTTTGTTGAGTGACTGAATATTTAAAAAAAAAAAGGAAACACAAGTTTTTAAATCTAAAGGAAATGAGATATGATACCTGTTACTCAAATAAAGCCAGAGGAATCACCAGATTGACTCTCCACTGATAAATGGAATAAAGACAGCTACACTCCCTCCTTTCTCTCACCAAGTGATTGTTCTAAGTGCTGTGCTGGACCTTGATGTAGACAGCAGCATTTCTAAAGCCAGGAAACCTATTATGAGAGTTTAAATCTTGTTTTCTTTGTCTACTACTGCTTCTCTTCTAACATCTGGCAAAGCTTCCCTGCTAAGAGAAATATCACAGTTTACAACTCAAGCAAGATCCCAGCGTGCAAACATGGAAGACGCTGCACATCATGACCGCAAAGGGAAAGAGACAGACAGGAGCAGAGGTCCAGCCACCTCCAGCATGCGACTGACTGTCCACCCCAGGAGGCTGAGCCTTTGACAGGTTGATACAGTCAGGCTTCCCAGAGAAAGGAGGAACCCCTGTCTCTATTCCATGTACCAAATAGCTACGATAACTAGGAAGGACAGAAATCATCATCTCAGAGAGTTATTTGAAATGACATATCTTTTCCCCATTCCCTAACGTTCTGTTTTTACCTACCCAAGATTGTAGCCATAATCATAGGCTGAGGATGCTTTACTACTGACTTCGGATCCTAAGGCATAGGCTGTAGATCCAAGACTGTAGGCCTGGGAGCCCTGCCGATAGGCCGAGGAGCCATAGGCTTCAGAGGCCTGGTGGTGGGCAGAGGACATGTGACTGTAGGCTGTTGAGCCATGAGTGTAGATAGCGGAGCTCTTCTTCTCCTGTTGGTACTGGCTCATGGTGGACCGAAGATCTTTGCTGCGGTACCCTCGGTCGTAGTGCTCATGGTACTTCTGGTAGAAAGGCAAAGACATAGTGGGCCCCTACTTTGTACAGTTCTTTATGGAGGTCTGGTTTAATCAGGGGTCTCAGGGGACAGATGATCTACAAAAAAAAAAAAAAAGAAAGAAAATGAAAATGAAAACCACTTTAATAGATAGATGAGAAGCTAAATCCAGGAAGCAACATTTTCATTTTGACTGGGGTATTATTCTTCCTTAGATTCTCCTCCAATAAAAGAGGAAATCACCCCATTAATATTAGATGTGGAAGATGATACTCTTCTTAGAGTACTTCACCTCCTGTTATGGGACAATTGAAGTGGTCACATCTAAGGAAACTCTCTAAATGGTCTTCTGAATGACTATCCTTTTGTCACCTGGAGACAGAGACAAAACCAAAACAAGGTAGTCATTTAGGGAGTTAAATTTCATCAGGGAGAGGGGCAGTGGGCAGGTAGCTGGCGCAGTGGATAGAGCACCAGCCCTGGAGACAGGAGGACCTGAGTTCAAATCTGGCCTCAGACACATAGTACTTCCTAGCTGTGTGACTCTGGGCAAGTCACTTATCCCCAATTGTCTCTCTTAAAAAAATATATTTATACAATACAAGGATCTAAGATATCTCCAAAGGCATTATGATGGAAAATGCTATCCACATCCAAAGAAAGAACTATGGAATTTGAATGCAGATTGAAGCGCATTATTTGCTATTTTTTTTCCTTCTGTTGTGTTTTGTTTCCTCTTTCTGGTGGTTCCTTCTATTGGTTCTAATTCTTACTTATAACATCACTAATGTGAAAATATGTTTAATAGGAATGTATATGTATAGCCTGTATCAGATTGCATCGCTGTCTTGGCAAGGGAGGTAGGGAGGGAGAGGGAGAAAAATTTAAAACTCAAAAGCTTATGGAAGTGATTGTTGATAATTCAAAATAAATTAATTAAAATTTGAAAAAAAAAGAAGAGAGGCAGCTAGCTGACTCAGTGAATAGAGCACTGGCTCTGGAGTCAGGAGGACCTCAATTCAAATCTAGCCTTGGACACTTGATGCTTACTACCTGTGTGACCCTGGACAAGTCATTTAACCCCTATTGCTTCATAAAAACCCAATAAATTTCATCAAGAAAAGGTCACCTAACTTTACCTCATTAAAAAACAGCTCCTCAAAACTTGATAAATCTCATGCAATAATTCTCAACTAGATGGTACATTAGATAGAGCTTGGAGTTGGGAAGATCTCAGTTCTAATCCCCCCTCAGATACTAGTTGTGTGAATCTGAACAAGTGACTTAACCTCTCTCAGCCTCAGTTTCCTCATCTGGAAAACATTGCTAATGATAGCACCTACTCTACCTTCTAGGGTTGGTGTGAGGATCAAATGAGATGACATATGTTAAAGAGTTTTGCAAACCTTAAAATCCTATATAACTGCTGACTATTGTTATCCATTGTAGCTAAAAGGTTGCACTTTTTATACCCAATTCAAAATACTGAGATTAAGGTTATAGGAACAAATATCACTATGCAACATTCAGTGATGATCGTAATCTCCAGTATATTCCAGTATATGCCCAGAAGCAAAGAAGCTAACTGGCACTCCTTGGGATCACAGGTTCTTAGATATAGAATTAGAAAGGACCCTAAAATCCTTTCCAGAGCTTGGACCTTAATATCCTTTCCAGAGGTTAGCACAGTGCCCAGCACTATGTAAGTGCTTGATAAATATTTATTGACTATTAGGTAATGCCGTGACTCTGGGCCTGGAGTCAAAAAGACTCATCTGTCTGAGTTAAAAAATCCAGCCTCAGACCTTTACTAGTTGTATGACCCTGGCTAAGTCACTTAATCCTGTTTGCCTCAGTTTCCTCATCTGGAAAATGAGCTAGAGAAGGAAATGGCAAACTACTCCATTATCTTTGCCAAGAAAACTGAAAATGGGGCCATGAAGAGTTGGACACAACTCAAACGACTCAACAACAACCTTACTTCTCTATTGGAAAACTACATCAAGACTGTAAAATAAGACTTGGTCAGTGGAAGTTAAAAGGAAAAATAAGATGACCAAGCAAAACTTACCAATTGGGTGTAAATCAGAATATTTCAGAGCACTGTTGAGCACTAATGAGAATGCCAGTCAGTCAAAAGACATTTATTATGTGCCTAAAATGTTCCAGGCAAACATGCTAAGCTCTGAAGATACAAATAAGAAAAAGACAGTGCCTTCCCTCAAGGAGCTTACAATATAATGGGGGAAAACAACATACAAAAAGAAGCTGAAAAGTGAGGGAGAGGGAGGAGATGGGGTAAGGGGATACGAGAAAGTTCAAAGAAGGGCAGCAGGGTGGGAAATGAAGAGAATGTACTTGGGTTTGATTTAGATGGTCAGGAGACCTGGATTCTAGTTAGAGCTCTGCCAGAAATTAGATGCATGACTTAGAGAAAGTTAGAGTTGGAAGGAACCTCCAAAGGCATTTAGTCCAGCTGGTTCATGAATATCCCTTCCACATCATTCCCTGACAAACCATCATCCAGCTTCCACTCCAAGACTTCCAGGGTTGTCAAAATATCTCCTGACGCTGCCTGCTTCACTTTTGAGCCATCATCTCCTGTCCCTTCCCACCTCCAATTCCTTTTAGCAAGGAACAGAAATAGATCACAGGTTGGAAACTAGAAGGGATCTTAGTGATTATTTAGTTTAACACCCCATTTTACAAATGAAGAAACTAAGACCTAGATATAGGTAGTGCAGGGGATAGAGTGTCAGGCCTGCAGTCAGGAAGACTCCTCTTCCTGAGTTCAAATATGGCCTAGCACTATGTAGGTACTTGATAAATGTTTATTGACTATTAGGTAGTGCATCGACTCTGGGCCTGGAGTCAGGAAAATTCATTTGCCTGAGTTAAAAAATCTGGCCTCAGAGACTTACTAGCTGTGTGACCCTGTGCGAGTCACTTAACCCAGTTCGCCTCAGTTTCCTCATCTGTAAAATGAGCTGGAGAGGGAAGAGGCAAACCACGTCAACATCTTCACCAAGAAAACCCCAAATGGAGTCACACAACTGAAATGACTGAACAACAACATAGAAGGTTTAATAAAATTTTTAACTGCTGCAATGCTTTCCATGATGTCCTTCTTTGGAGCAAGGCACAGAGCTGTTCCCCTTGGCATTGGTCAAGCTAGTTTAAGATTATATTTCTTAAGATGATTTAATTGGTTTTTTTCTACTTAGTTGCACTATTTTGTCTTCTATCCTAATCGCTGGGAAATTTTCTCCTTGTTTTCAAAATTGTGAAAATTTTCAGTTCAGTCCAAGTAAAGTAATTTTTCATAGAACCATGTTCTTACAAATGGCAGATTTCATCTCCTAAACAGAGATAAGAGCTCGGATCCTTTCACTGTCACTGTCTACCTATGTAGTCTTCAAAAAGTCAGTTAACCTCTCTTGATCTCAGTTTCCTCATTTGTAAAATGTTAGACAAGACAATCTCTAAGAACCTATTGAATTCTGAATCCTATGATCCTATTCACCTTATATTGAATGTATTTTAGCTTATGTATCAATATTCTTCCTTAAATGTAGTGCCCAGACCTTAATACAATGAATGCTCCGTGAAAATTGGTAAGTGATTTATAAACCTTAAATTCTATATAGATGTGTTATTAATACTTGTATTATGGATTTGTCATTGTTCAGTTGTTTCAGTCATGTCTGACTCTTTGTGATCCCATTTGGGGTTTTTTTGGCAAAGGTACTAAAGTGGTTTGCCATTTCCATCTCTAGCTTATTTTGCAGATGAGGAAACTGAGGCAAACAAGGTTAAGTGACTTGCCCAGGGTCACAAAACTAGTCAATGTCTGAAGACAGATTTGACTCAGGAAAATGAGTGTTACTAACTCGAGGCCTGGCACTCTATCTACTGTGCTACGTAGCTGACATATAGTTAAAAAAAAAACCAAACTGTAGTACTCTATAACAGGGAAAAGCTTTGCAAATACTACATCCTAGTAGATAGAAGCAGAGAGCAGCACATTAACTGCCTTGAAGAGTCTCTATAGCTCAAGCCTTGCAGATGATATCAAAGAACAACTCAGCAATCATGATACCAATAGAGATAACTAGATGAGCCAATACACTAGAAAATGGAGGTAATGTGACATCTGGTGGAAATGATGCCACACCCAACAGGTAGCAATTTGTGGACATCACCAGATGACATGGATGGCTCTTCAGAATCAGGCATGTGAATTGCCCTTGCTGTGTGTGCACCCTGGTCACAAGTGTCCATAAATTTGTGCTCTCCACACGTATGATCTGGCCACAGAGTCTCCTTTCATGCGTGGTACCTGTCTGCTAGTCTACCCTTCTGGAAGCCTATGGGAGAACGTATATGACACATGCTTGAGGGGGACCTTTTATTTTCACATTATTTGTTATTATGTTTGAGAATCATCAGTAAAGCATTCAATTAGCACTTTTAAATCTGTAAAACACTTAAATATGTTATCTTATTTGAGTTTTATATCAACGAGTGAAGTAAATTTCATTATATTCATTTTACAGATGAAGAAACACTCAGAAAGGTGACTTGTTCATAGTCACACAAACTCTGACAGTTGTTGAGTAGTATATCAAGCAAAGGCTTCCTGACACCAGACCAAATATTTGGGACCCTGTGCCACGCTGCCTACGTAAATAAGGACACATGTTTGAAGAATATTCATATCAAGGTGTCAGGAAGAGGATGAGTCAACAAATGAGAAAGAGGGCGTATGATAAACAGGTAGGAGATTCTAAAGAACCAAGGGAGGAGCCTACCCTAGCCGAGTCAATAGTGTCAAAAGTGCCAGAGAAGTAAAGGAGGATTGGGTATGTTAAAAAAAAAAAAAGAAGACCATTTATTTCATTAGAGGCCTAATTTTAAGCAATTGAGGAAATTTAGTGGGATTGTAAAGCTGGAAGAAGCTTCAGTACTCATCTAGTTCAAGTTCCAGAGGTAATGTGATTCTGAGAGAAAGACAGACAGAGACAGATAAATAGAGACAAACAGAGACAGAAAGAGCTTGAGAGACAGAGAGAAAAGAGAGACAGAGAGAGAGAGATACACAGAGACAGAGATTGAAAGACAGAGAGAAAAGAGGCAGAGATTGAGAGACAAAGAGAGATAAACAGAGACAGGCAGAGACAGACTGAGAGACACAGAGAGAGAGAGAGGGGAGAGGAGGAGGAGGAGGTCTAAGATATGACCATGTTGATGTGTGCCTGGAGGAGATGAGTAGGTTTGCAGAGTTGGGGATGTTGAAGAACTAAAAGATCAGGATTTTACAGACTGTTGAAATGCATATTGATGTTCCTAAAGATGATGCCAATGAATGTTATGGAAAATAAGGCCATGAGCTAAATTGTAAAGGCTTTGAAAAAGCTGAATGACCCAGAATATAGTGCATGACTCCAACAAGAAAGAGGAGAGGATGATACAAGCAAACTGCATGTACTTTAAAAGAGGAAAGGTCATTAAGGAGAAAGGGGAGGTAAAGGAATAGTCTAGAAATAGAAGTGAGGAACAAGGATGCCTGTCTATACACCCCTAACCCTGTAAGTCAAGTGTCCTCCAGTGGCAAAGATCGCAAGGGATGCCGTGTCTTCAGGTTACAGTCAGGTTTCAGTTAGAGTAAGAAGGTGAAAGGAATAATAATCGCACCTAGATGGCTTAGTGGATAGAGCTCTGGCCTTAGAGTCAGGAAGATCTGAGTTCAAATTTGGCCTCAGATACTTCCCAATCTGTATGACCCTGGGTAAGTCGTTGGACCTCTGTTTGTTTCCGTTTTCTCAACTTTAAAAACAGGATAATAATGATACTATCTACCAGGGTTATTATGAGGATTAAATAAGATAATATTTGTAAAAGTGCCTGGCACATCGTAAGCACCAAATAAATGCTATTATTATTGTTATATGGTCAAGAATGAAAGGAAGTTTGCTAACAATAGAATGGAGTTTCTACTAGAGGTAGTGGAACAGGCTAGAATCTAACCCCTTAATAAAAGGTTTTGTTCTATGAAGTTTGGATTCAGTCAAAGGACTGGCTCTTGAGGACCTAGAGGGCCACATGTGATCCCAAGGCCACAGATTCCCCACCCCTAGGCTAGATGATGTCACCCATCCATGTCCACCCCACCAGAGTGGAACTAGAAAATCATAGTAACTATCAGAAAGGGGTGAGTTTTTGGGAAGAAAGAGCACGGGCACTTGGCCCTAAAGGTATGAGATTAGATGACTGAGATTAAGGAGCTGGGACATTTGTAGAATTCATCTGCCTGGAGTTTATAAGAGCCTATGTTACTACATGCTATGTGTTAAAAGCCAAAGACCAACTAACCAAAGGAGGTGTTAAGAGCTTATATCCTGTATAAGTTATTTTGATATGCATATATTTGTGACGCATTTTGGCCCTAGTCTATTTTTAGTGCTTCTTTTTACACCAAAAGATCATTTTTATTTTTCATATTTAAGGACATATGGTATAGTAATAGAGAGGAAACATGGTCTTAGGGATATAATGCTGGATTTGGAGTTAGGAAGACTTGGGTTCAGATTCTACCTCTGAGTGATTGACTGTGTGACCCTGGACAAGTCATTTAACCCGTATGAGCTTCAGTTTCCTCATCTATAAAAACTGGAAATGATAACAAAGGCACCTACCTCACAGGGTATTAGGAGTATCATATTAGGCAATGAATATGCAGCACTTTGTAAACCTTGAAGTTTCCTTTTCCATGGGAAACTGAGACTCTGAGAAATTGACTTGCTCGGCATGCCACAGCCACTGAGTGTCTGAGGCAGAATTCAAACCCAGGGCTCTATGAACCCAGGTCCAACTCTCTATTCCCTATTGTATGCTGTCCCACAAAGCAGTCGTCCTTTGAAGCATAGACGTATCTAACCTACATTATTCTATTACAATGGGCAGCTAGCTGATGCAGTTGGGCCTGGAGTCAGGAAGACTCATCTTCATGAGTTCAAATCTGACCTTAGACACTAACTAGCTGAGTGACCCTGGACAAGTCACTCAACCCTGTTTGCCTCAGTTTCTTCATCTGTAAAATGAAGGAGAAAGAAATAGCAAACAACTCCAGTATCTCTGCCAATTAAACCCCAAATGGGGTCACAGAGTCAGATGTGACTGAAACGACTGAACAACAACAAATTCTATTAGAACTAAATTCAACGTATGATTTTTTTGAAAAAGTTGTTTTCATGGTCTGAAACCAAACCAAAAAATCATCATCTTTATTTTCTAAATCTACTAAAGAAAATCCATAAAATAGAATATCTGAGGGGTTCCTAGTAAGAAAAATGTCTATATTACCTGCTAAGGCATGACTGCCTTAATTACTTCTTGATAACATTTATCAAGCACCTCCTATTTGCCAGGCACTGTGCTAAGCATTTTTACAAATATTATCCCTTTTGATTGTCACAATAACCCTGAGAGGTAGGTGCTATTATTATCTCCAGTTTTATAATTGAGGAAATAGAGGCAAATAGAATTGACTTGCCCAGGGTCACTAGTGTGGCTAGAAAGTATCTGAAACCCACATGTATAAAAATATGTATAGCAACTCTTGCTGTGGTGGCAAAGAGGAAGTTGAGGGGATGCCCATCAATTGGGGAATGGTTGAACAAGTTGTGGTATATGAATGTAATGGAATACTATTGTGCTATAAAAAATGGTGAGCAGGCAAACTTCAGAAAAACCTGGGAAGACTTGTATGAACTGATGCTGAGTGAAGTGAGGAGAACCAGGAGAACATTGTACGCAGTAACAGCCACAATGTGTGACGACTAACTTTGATAGACTTAGCTCTTTTCAGCAATGCAAAGCTCTAAGACAACTCCAAAACTCATGATGGGAAATGCTCTCCACATCCAGAGAAAGAACTTTGGAGTCTGAATGCAGATGGAAGCATACTATTTGCTCTCCTTTTGTTGTTTTGTTTTGTTTCTTCTTTCTTGTGGTCCCTCCCATTGGTTCTAAGTCTTCTTTACATCATGACTAATGTGAAAATATGCTTAATATGAATGTATAAGTAGAGCCTATATCAGATTGCACACCATCTACGGTAGAGGGGAGGAGAGGAAGGGGGAGAAAATTTAAAACTCAAAATCTTACGAAAGTGAGTGTTGAAAATAAAAATAAATTTTTTTTTTAAAAAGTAGCTGAAGTCAGATTTGAACTCATTCCTTCTTGACTTCAGGCCTAGCACTCTATCTACTGCACAACCTAGCTGCCTCTGATAAGATAGGTGCTTAAGGAGATATACTAACTTTGAGGCCAGAATGTCTTTGTAAGCGTGCAGACTAACAATGTTTCTGCAGGTGTAAATGGTTAATGGGCTGACTGGCAGAAGTCGTTAATTTTAGCACCCTTACAGTGAAAGCAGCCCTGGATTTGGAAACAGAAAAAGGCCCTGGTTTTGAGTCTGAGATCTCTGCTGGTTACTCTCTATGAGTAGTACAGAGAAGTGATGAGAAAATCACTTCTCTGAGCCTTAGTTTCTAATTCTACAAAACAACGGAGTTAAATTTAAATGATACCAGAGGTCCCATCTGGCTCTAAACCTGGGATCATGATCGTTAACTCTTTGGTATGATTTACTGTCTTGGAAGAATCATTATAAGATATCCTGCTCCCCTCCAACAATATCAGGGAAATTTTCTGACAGTGGCTTCAGAGAATTAATCTGCCTCTCTGTGTGCCTAACCAAAGAGAATGAAGCCTAGGGATTTCAGCTTCCCTTATTCATTTCAGATTCTACAGAATTCCAACTACCCCCCCCAACTACTCTGTTTTAAATGGTGAAAGTAAATTAGCTCAGATTTACACTGCTCAGACAGAAAGGTATTTCTATCTCCCTGTAGTTCCAGCAATAGTTTATTTTAAAATTAGCACAATGAAAAAAAAAAGAAACAAACAAAAAACCTAGTACAATATTCAGTAAGAATAACTATGCCAGAATAAAATGAAATAAAATAAAACTGGCCCCCTGCTCCACTCTCCTTTTTCTCCAATAACTTCACCTTTCTATTTCTCTGCTGTTTCCACAAGTCCCTCAACAAAATGCTGGTCTTGGAAGACAGAAGGAGCTACAATCAATCCAGGCTTGTTAAACTCACACACAAAATAAGCACAATCTTCAATGAAAATGTCACACTTACTTACCAGAGTCCAAATGAGTAATGATGGTGGAAAGGTTCCGATGTAGTGGTGGAACTGAATGACAGAATGCAGAATCCACCCAAGTTGAATTGAAGAAAAAAAAAAAAAGGCAGGGCTAAAGACTGGACCCTGGGGGCCAGTACAAAAATAATGCCTGTAGTCAGGAGAAAGTCAGGGCCATGGACCTGGCCTTTTATGGCCAAGAAGGCAGATAAATTTAGCAACCAAGGGGGTGGGGTAGGGGGGAGATCAAACAGAACAGACACATATGATAGCTACAGCTATCAGGAATTCAGGCAAGTAAGTCCTCAAGATTCCCCTTTGGGGAGGCCTCACCTCACCTAACCAAAAAGGAAAGCTTCATTTTGCTACAAGAGAGAGTGCAATGTTTTTTTGGTCAGCAGAATTTTTTAAAGCATGTGAAAGTTCCCAGGGAACGAACAGTCAATGTTGGGAGTGAAAATGAAGCCAAGTAATTTGAATCTCAGAACATAATTGGAATGTTCATGGCAAGCTGCAGGCCTCAGTGTTCTGCTAATAGGACATGTACAGTAGAGATAAATGAATAGACAATGAAGGAAGAACAAGGTGAAAACTGGAGGCAAATGGCGTTAAGAAATGAGTTAGAGGTGACAGGACTACTGGTGGTGGATCGGCTGTCACAACCTTCTCTCACTTAGTTAATAGACATTCTAAAGGAGGGTCACAGGCTCATTGAAAGGACTGATTCATTATACTTTGAACACATTGTTCTGTGAAACAATAAACTTTATTTCTCCTAATGCAGAAACCGTAGGGCAGCTGGGTGGCACTGTGAGTGCTGGGCCTGGAGTTAGCAACACCTGGCCTCAGACGCTAGCTGTGTGACCCTGGGCAAGTCACCTAACCCTCAGTTTCCTCATCAGTAAAATGAGCTGGAGAAGGAAATGGCAAACTATTCCAGTATCTTTGCCAAAAAAAAACCCCAAAAGACAAATGGGGTCATGAAAAGTTAGACTTGACTGAAACGACTGAATAACAACACTCTCCGTGGAAGAGAAAAACTATTACTAAGTTTTAGTAATTAAAGTTATGCTTATATATGCTTATATATCTGCTTATATATCTACTATTTTGTAGCATAAGTGAGGTTCTATGCTTTGATTAGGCACGTGTGTGTATGTGTGTGTGTGTAGAACCAAGAGAATGTTGTATACAGTTAACAGCAATGTTGTGTGAAGAGTAACTATGAATGACTAAACTATTCCAAGTATTACAAATATTCAAATCAACTACAAAGGACCTATGAAGGAAGATACTATCCACTGCCGAAGAAAGAACTGATTAAAAAGAAAGTATTTGTAGTATGGTTTTACATGTGTGTGTGTGTGTATGTGTGTGTGTTGGGAGAGGAGGATTTCTCATCATCTGTGATACCTCAACTGAGCTGGGTGGGGAGGGAATCAAATCTTCCTTCACCCTAATTCGAACATCAATATGTAGTGCTAGGAAGCTCACTTAACTTTCTGAGCCTCATTTTCCACATTGGTAAAATAAGAGATTTGGAACAGGAAGTATAGGACAGTGAAAAGAATGACTGATTTGGAGCATAAGAGCTCAGATGAAACACCATTTGCTACTTGCCACCTGTGTAACCCTTGGCATTCAAGCTACTTCATTTTTTCCATGTCGCTGTGACCTCATCTGTGAAGTGAGAGTATTGAACTAATAACTTCTGTGGTACCTTCCAACTCTAAATCAATGATCACCTAGAATTATTTATTCAATATTGGTGCAGGATGTTTCTGTGAAATTAAAAAACATTAGTGGAAATTCAAACATTTCTGCACAAGACTTTAATGAAACCAGTAACTGACTGATTGATTTATCCTTTTCAGAAAGACATATGACTTGGATAAGGAATGAATTCTTAAATAAGGAACAGAAGATCAAGAAATAAAACAAATAATTTTCACTGCAAGAAACTGAAACATTTTTATACAAATAAAATTAACACATCTAAGGAAGTAGTATATTTTGTCAAAGGGAATAAGTCTTTATTTAAAATAGTTTTCATAACAACCAAAAGCCGTTCCCAAGAGATAAGTGGTCAAAGAATTTGAACAAACAGTTCTCAAGAGAGTTCCAAACCATTAACAGCCATATGAAAGAATGCTTCCAATCACTAATGCTAAAAGAAATAAAAATCAAAACAACACTGAGGTTGTTTGAAGTCTCACTTCACTGAATCCTCATTCCTAGCAAAATGGTAAAGATGCCCCCAAAATGGGAGCATTCAATGTTGAAGGGGTTATAAAAAGATTCATAAATTAGTGTATTATTGATAGAGCTCTGAATTGATACAACCACTCTGCAAAACAATTGGGAATTATACAAATAAAGTGACTAAAATGTATATACCCTCTAACTCAGAGATTCCATGACAGGCATACACCTCAAGGAGATCACTGACAAAAAAAAAGGTCCCACATACACAAAAACACTTGTAATAGCACTTTCTGTCGTGGCAAGAACTAGAACAAAAAAGAGGGCCATTAATGACTAAAAAATTAGGGCCCATGAGTGTAATAGAATATCATTGTGCTATAAAAATTATGAACATTAAAAATACAGAGAAGCATGGAAAAATCTCTGTGAATTGATGCAAAATGAAGTAGTCAAGAAAACAGTATACACAATGACTACAACAATATAAATGGAAAGAACAACCACAAACCAACAGAAACTGAGTGTCACAAAATTATAGAGGACAAGATAGCCCTAAAGAAGAGATGTGAGAAGGTATTTCCTTCCTCCCCACTCTTTTGTGGGTATGGAACACTGCATAAAACTTCAGACTTTTGAAATACATTGACTGATTTTACGGAACTTTTCCTCTTCTTCCCCGCCACATCTCTTCCCTCCCCGCACCCCTGCTCTTTTTTATTCTTAGTCATAAGAATTGGCTCTAATTGATCTTGCCTGTGGCACATATTACGGCAGCTAGATGGTGCAGTGGATAGATTACCAAGCCTAGAGTCAAGAAGACCCGAATTCAAATCCACCCTCAGACCCATGATGAGTTAGGGTGATGTCTACCCCAAGCATGTGAAGACTTCCTCCAGCAGAATGGGTAGATGAGAACAATCTGTTCCAATGGCCATGAAGATGACTGAAGCAGGTGCTTCGGAGCGCTTAGAGCTTGGTCAGACACTGAAGATACCAAGGTCATCCACTGCACTTCAGGCCACCACCAGTTGTCCTGACTTTTGTCTTGCCACTGTCTTCAATGACTCTGGAGGAGAGAGTGAGGCTGAAGACTTTATGCAATTCTGCCTCACTTAAATCCAATTCACTCACGAGTGAAAACATCACCCCATGATGTCATTGGTTCTCATTGAAAATGAAGGACCAACAACTAGCTGTGTGACCCTGGGCAAGTCACTTAACTGTTTGCCTCAGTTTCTTCATCTGTAAAATGAGCTGGAGAAGGAAATTACAAACCACTCTATTATCTTGGCCAAGAAAACCCAAATGGGGTCACAGAGAGTTGGACATGACTGAAAAGACTGAACAACAAAGAACAATGGTACATACTATCCTGGATTTAATCTTTATACGTTATAGAAACTAAAGAGTTAATAGTAATATTTTAAATAGACCCTCAATGTTTTAGGGTTTTTTCTTTGTTTGTTTTATTTTGTTTTCTCACAGCTGCCTTGTGAATTAGTAGTACAAGTATTATCCCCATTTTATAGAAGAAGAAACAGAGGATCAGAGAAGTGATTTTTCCCTGGTCATACAGCCAGTAAGTATAGGTAGTAAGATTCAAAGCAAGGTCTCCAGATTTCAAATGCAATGTATCCTCTACTCTATTTCCCTGTACCATTGCCTCAACAGACCCATGTGTATGTCTGTATATTCCATTTGGAAGCATTCTACATAACAAAATCAACATTTAAAGAGACAAATTCAACTTGAATCTTTCGAATGAATTTTCCTGACTTCATACTCTGATAAAATTAGATTCCCTCAAGACATATAATCTCCACCCTGCCCAAGAAGCAAAGGGAGACTAATCAGGTGTTAATTTTAGACAGTTCAATTCCCATAGTGCTGTCTAAATGGCTAATGCAAAGTATTTGGAGTGATTATATTTTTAGAAAAGGCCTAGAAACTCCTGCAAAGGGTTTGCCTCTAGTGCTGTAGTTAGCTTTGGATGTGAGAGAACAGATGTCACTGTCTTCCTTGTTCACTATTTCACACCTCATAGGTATGAAAGGGATCAGTTTCACTACCAGTAAGATCATTAGGAAGCCATGATATGTTTGCAAAATATACATATAGTGCCATTGAGCTTTCCTTTTTAACTTTTCAGGCAGAAGTCATCATATCCTGGCAGTAGAACAGGAAGTAGTTAGGAGCAGTCAAAGTCATATACATGTATAAGGGGAGAAACAATTTGAGATATTCTGGAGAAATTGATTTGTTTTTTAACAAAAAGACAAGTTGTTTCTAACCATGATCAGGGAAATGTATTGGGAAGAGTGGCTGACTTTAGTTATCCAACAAAGAAAACCCATGCAAGACAATGCTGGGGGAAACCATTAATACGCAAAGAGAAAAAGATCCTACAAAAGATCAGTGTTTTCACAAAACCCTAACCGTTCTTTCAGATGAAAGTAAAGCATGTAAATAATTGACTAAGATTACTAATGGCACTCTTATGAAGTAGAAGCTTCTCTTATCCTATGGAGAAAAAAATTAGGCACAAACATATTAAAGTTTTGAAAAAGCTAGAATCCAAGTGGGACCTATTGGTTGGAGAATAACTAAATAATTGCAGTATGTGAATGTAATGGAATACTGCCATTAGAAGCTATGAATAGAAGGGATCAGAAAAACACTGTCAGAGTGAAATAAGAAAATCAGGAGATTAATAAGCATGGTTACAGTAACACACATGCACACACACAAGACTGCATAAAATGAAACAAAGTGCTGAGTAATTATAATAATCAATTTTGGCTTTGGAGAAGAGAAGAGGAAGCACACTTCTTTTCATCCTTCTTTTGGTAAAGAGGTGGGATACTAAAAGCATAGGATGCTACATACACTGTGCTTGTTTTTCTTGTTACAAGGAGGCAGTCATTTGGGGCGGGAAATGAATAACTGGAAATAATTATAAATTAAATATTACATATTCATACTTACATATATACATATGGACTATGTCTACACTTTAAATTCTACACATGGTCAGGTTTTGAAAGGTTTTTTTTTTCATAAAGTCGCTGTTTCTGTGTCATCCTTGTATTAAAATTTGGTGTTTTGTACAAAAGTCGACTGTCTAAATCTAGTCTTACTCATAAGCCAA